CACCATGGCCCTTGCCACGGTCATGCCGAGGAATGAGGAGAATGTCGGCGAGGACTGTCATCTGCTCAGCCTTCAGTACCTGGCAAAGACGGTCGTGGACCTTGGCCATCTCCATCTCGCCGGTCAGGACACTTGAGTCGTTGCGCATGTCCTCGGCTAGCTTGTCGGCGGTGGCAGCACGTCTAGCGGCAGTAGCAGCATGTTTGTTGGCTTTGGCAACCGATTCCTCTTTTTCGCGACCAACCCTTTTGGTAGCTTGTTTGGTGTATTGGTTGGCATCACCGCTAGGATCCAGTGGTATGGGACCCGCACACTGCACACGCCATAGCTCCTCCATGATGGTCAGTGACACGTCTTCCGAGCATAGAGCAATGAGAAACTTCCAGAACATTGCCATATGGCCATCGTACGCGCCCAGTCGCCGTACCAGTGCAATGGTGTGATATTTTTCTTGCACCACACATTCTGCCATGAACCATGCCGCCAGGAACTCCTGCAGTGACAGATGACAGAAGCGGTATTGTCGAGAGTCCGTAGACATTGTGCCCTGGCATGTTTGCAGAAGACCCAAGTTCATTGCATCCTTGCTCAAGTGGGAGCTGATGATGTTGGACGTGTTGAACACTATCCTTTTCAGCAGCAGCATGCGAAACGCAAAACGCCCCAGTTCCTTTAATGACTGGACCACTTTGCTGGGTGCCAGTGGCAACGAATCGCAAACCGCACCACCAGCACGCTCTGCGACTCGGCGCAGAACCGATTCGTACAGGTATGCGCTGCACTTCCACACGTCTTTGTTGCTCTTGAAAAGCTCACATGTAAGGGCTGCAAACATGGGAGTTGCCATAAGACATGACACGTCCGGCTTGCTCTGCAACTCTGTCAGCAGAATTTCAGCACATTGTGTACCGAGTACCTTCTCTGCGTACTCCCTCACGTTCTCCGGTGAGAAACCCAGTACTTGGATCTTCTGCTGATATTTGCCGCACTGCGATAGTTGATATGCATCCTGGCATGGACGGCTTGTGACAATCACGTGTGTCTTCACCATCCCCTCACGTTTCAGCAAGTCTCTCATGAACTTACTGCAGTTGGCGAAATCACATTCGTCCAAGCCGTCCATGACGACACATAGACGGCTTGGAGAATCTTCGAAGTAGTTTGCCAGCTCCAATATCTCAGCCTGGGACAGGCCCTGGCTTGCCAGTTTCACAGTCAACAGCTCAGCAAGACTAGTGGCAGCTCTCACCTGTTTTTCACGAAGCTCCAATCCCACGACAAGATCGAATTCCTCCCATAGTTCGCCTCTGCTCCACAGGTATACAACCATGAGCAGAAACACTGTGGTCTTGCCACTACCAGCGGATCCGTACGCCAGTACATTCCGTAACACCTTGCCGCACAGCTTTCTCGACTCGGACGCTGTAGCTGCTGCTTCTGCCGCTGGTGCAGTTTTTCCTGTTGAATGGGAAACATTGTCATCACTCGAACCTGCGACACGAAACAGGTTCTGCAATTCAATTCGATCGGCTTTGCTAGATTGCACTGCGTGTTCACGTCTCTCGGCGTACGTCGAGAACGTTTCATCAAATTCTCTTTTCAGTAATTCCTTTTCGGACACCAACGCCAAATTGACGAATATCTTTTCGAGCGGAATGAGGTCATCAGAAGCGAGGCCGCCGCTCAGCTGAACTCCTGACTCTTCGGCCTGTTCCAACAACTTCTTTCTGGCTTTGACCAGGGAAGGCAGCAGAGCCTGGGTCTTTGCACCAGGCTCCTCAGCCATAACCTTCGAAAACACGACGGGTAGAACTACGGGTGTTGAAGTCGAACACCTTTGTAGTTTCTCAGTTCACTGCGGGAAGTGACAAGTCTGATGACATGAGTACTGACTGTAACACTCTGACTCGCCTGTGCTGAGTGAACGACTAGCGACTGTGACTGTACATGTACCATGTACTGTCAGTCACACGCACACGAGGCACAGGCACATGATGATTGTGTGCATGGAACAGCCGGACACAGTAGACCCTACACTGTACAGCCTCTCAGAACAACACTCGGAATCGTAGACTCCACTTCGTCTCAAGCAGGCAACATGCAACAGCGGAACAAGTCAATAGTCTTCCTGTCAGAAACTGGACTGACTGTGGACAGTTTCCGGAAGTACAACAATGACTTTCTCGCTACTTAGATCTTGTATTACACACGGAAAGTTGGGTGTGGTCCTCGAAAGAGTGCTCACCGGGGTGCAGAGCTTCATACAAAAGGAACATGAACATGACATGAAGCGCAAGAATGCCGGGTACAGCATCAGTTGGTCAGTTGTCGCCCAAACACCAGCATACTCCAATGCCACCAAGCGCTGCCCTCTCTGTCTGCGTGAGAAGCTGGAGATCTTGCATGCTGACAGAAGGGTGAACATCAACAAGCGATCGGAGCTAGTGGCCAAGCTTGCAAGTGCAGACATGAGAACAAATTCTACCTATCTAACTTCACACCTCCAGTTACATAAACCAGGATTACACCTGATGTCTGGCGCTAATCTTGCAAGTACATGCATAGAATCACCGCTTGACCTTATTTGCGCTTAAATTCTCTGATTCCACTAGCACCTTACCACACTATATCTAGAACATTCATTGAGTTTTTGTAATCATTGCTGTCTGATGATCGCCACAGGCGTGAAACTCGGAGTCACAGCCAACCCAAGCTCCGTGTGGGCCATTCTATTCCTTTTGTACGTCTTGTATTATGTGTCTCCGAGATTGCAGGAAGCTGTTCGGACGTCCCGTGGTTCTGGAGGCTGGTGCTTCGTCTTCTGCACTGGCTGTGTCGGTGGCTCAAGTTCCGGTCTAAATTTATGGATTAACTTCCTCAAACAACAAATCCATAAATGTAGTTAGTTTACTTGTTTATGCTGTTGCCTCTTGTGTGCTCCATGTGCGGTTAGCTGGTTGGCTTCTTTTCTTTAACTTTGGGTTCTTTTCATTTGCTTTGGGTTCTTTTCATTTGCTTTGAGTTCCTTTCATTTGCTTTGAGTTCTTTTCATTTGCTTTGAGTTCTTTTCATTTGCTTTGAGTTCTTTTCATTTGCTTTGAGTTCTTTTCATTTGCTTTGAGTTCTTTTCATTTGCTTTGAGTTCTTTACATTTTAATATTGTTTTGGATTTTAGTTGCATTTCTATCATTTTTATAGATGGTATTTTTGCCCGTAAAAGAGGCTTAAAAAAAAACAAAAAAAAACAACAATGACTGGATCGTGGAGTGTACCATACATGGAGAGTGGAGTGTAGTGAGTCTGTAGCAGGATTGTAGGCCGAGGAGGTTGGGATCAGGATCGGAGATTGTGTTGGCCCGTGGATGTGAATGTACATGTACGCTCGGACATGTACTTGGGCAAAGGCAAAGTCGTCGTCCTCGGACCTCCTGCAATCACCAATCTGTAAAGTGTAATGTATTCTAGGGACCGGCGGATTCTGCTCGAAAAAGTGGCAGATTCTGCTCGAAAAGCAGTGAAATTGGCAGAACCATACAAACCTTATGGCGGGCAATTCCTCGAATTCTGCTCCATTTTTTTTATCCACATACCAAACGTGCATGAAATTTACCAGAAAAAGTACCGAATTCTGCCAATTTTTTCTGCCGGCAGAATCCACCCGACCCTAAATTGTATTCGCCCAACCCAGCTACCTGCCTTATTATATTTAAAATAAATACAAGTGAAGGTGATGATTATCAGTTTCTTCTTGCAGTGTAGTTGAAGCACTTGAGTTGACTACTACTAGTACAATGTCATGTAGGTCCAGATCACCTCACTTTGGAACCACTTTGCCAAGCCTCTTGCTTGCTTGAAATACACTTCAAGCAAGCAAGAGGACCATTGTCATGATATAAATATGGTGTTTGTATTGAGTGCGCAAACGTTAGCCCATCTATTCATTGCGCTCATGATGGTGAAATATCATAGCAGGGTTCGAGAGGGGGGGGGGGGGGGGAGGGGGGTGCGCAGCGCGCTCATTTTCGATTTTTTTGTGTTTTTCTTCATGCCATTCAACGAAAATGCAGTCGATAGTCAGTACTCATGGTCCTAGTAGATAAAACAAGAGTGTGCAACTCCGGGATGGGTTGGCCCGCGGCGGAATTTTTTGTTGACGTAATCTTTTCGACGACGCACGCGCTGCGCGCATGCGAGTCTTTTGGAAAGTAACTTAGTTTTGCCTCATGCGCGGCCGGGCTTTACAAAGTCGGTGCCCAGCACGTGCTCTCACACTGCTCTGGGGCAAAATGCGCGTTCTTCTGAAAAAAGGTGACGTCAACAAAAATTCCGCCGCGGGGGCCGGGCGGGGGTATCTGCAGATTGTGCATAAGAGATCCGGAGTTGCACACTCTTGTTTATCTACATGTACATGTGCATTGTACTCTTGGTACTACCATGACTACTGTAGAGCTGGTTCATAAAGGTACATCTGTCCGGGGTCACGGAAGTCAGGTGTTCGCCCCTACGTTGCATTTCGCATTGCAAGACAGATATTTTGAAAATGGGACACGGGGTAAGTGTTTTCCCTGCCCCCCTACTATTTTGACCTGGCAAGAACCCTGTCAAATAGCATAGCATGAAACTCAGAGTTGCAGGTAGATGCGCGTACAGTCAACTTCGCTGATAACGACAGCGGAAATAGCGACAGAATGTCTACGCCCAGAGCAAAGTCCCATCAAACTGCACTACATACATGTACATGTACATGTATAATGAGACTTCGGGTATAGCGACACTTCGCGAATACGGACACTTTTCTGATGCCCCGCCGAGTGTCGTTATACGCCGCAAAGCTGGCTGTACATGTACATGTACACAAGACTGCAATGCAATCAGACTGGCTGGCTGCATACACGTACAAACAAGACCAGCCGAAGCCCAAGCCCGGGGCGCTCGCAAATACACACGAGCCTGGCCTGGGCTGTACACAGACGCGCCACACGCGTTCACCTTTCGGAGTCTCATCGCCGCGAATGTTGTTGTTGTATTCTTTATTTGAATTCGCTAAAACCAAACGGACAGAACTGTCCAGTGACAAGGGAGCGAATGATGAGCATCATAATCCTATGCATCAAAACATCTCGGGGAAAAATGAGACAGACGAGAAGGAGGGAATCAAGCCTGCCGTGAACATTGTTAGGCGGTCTTTGCACAATCCACTCATAAATAGGTGCCAAGCGCCAATGGCCCGACATGATCCACATACAGCCGTGTGTTACCGGAGCTACCGGAGTACCAACACGTTGGAATTGTAGGCTCAGCAGCTAACATGTATGTGCTTGATACTCATGCACATACGCGCTCGTGCACACACACACACACACACATGCACACGCACACACACACACACACACACACTCACACACACAAACACAAACACACACACACACACACACGCACACACTCCGGCCAACACCATCCACTCTAAAACACTCCACCGTGACGGTAGAAGCTATCACGCACGATAGCGGTGCGGCCAAACTCCGACGGATGGTACTTGTCCATGGAGTCGCGAATCTTCCACCCATACTCCTGTGTATAGGTTAGCGGGTACTCATATCGCCGCTCCACATTCTCCAACTTGCGCGTCGTCAAGTATTTGTAACGTCCTTCTCCGTCGTGACTCAGTCCGTTGTACAGGATGTCGCGTGTCTTGGCTGACGGTGCTCGCATTGGCTCCACGATACCGCCGCTCACCGACGCCGATGATTCCGACTGCAGTCCTGGTGACGATGCCGTGGGAAACGGATCGCTCTTGCTCAGCGTGGTGCTGCCCTGTGACCGCCGACCGCCGCTGGCGTCCATGCTGTCAAACAAGCTCTGACGCTCGGCGAGCCGTGCCTGATCGCGGTCGACCTGCTCGCGCATCTTCTCCACCGCCGAGTTGGGCCGCGGCACAACACCGGTGCGACGTCGACGCTTAGGCACTGCAGCCTTCTGGCTGGCATCGTCCTGGTCTGACTTGATGAAGTTCTTGCTGTACTTCAGGTGCCAGTCCTGGCGCAGTATGGCCTCCTTGTGTACCATCTCCTTCCAGAAGTTCTGCCTGACGTGGTCCATGTATACTTCTCGGTTCGACATTGTTGCTCTACGCACACACACGCGTGCACTGCGTCCGATAATATACTGTGCTCAAAGTTCAATGTGTGATTTATGATCAGTCACACAGACTAGTACAGAACGGCAGAGTGTTCGCCTCCGACAGTGAGCCTGAGTCACGAAGCACCAATGCCGCTCCGAGTGTCTTAGATGTCCTCGTCTCTTGACACGCACGACTTTCCTCGGTATTGTGGCACGGCTCGTAAATTGCCCAGCGCCTGTGCTCGCTTTTCTACAGAACTGAGAGAGGTGCGTGAAGAACTCAACGTTGTAGGGGATGCCTTGCAACTGGGTTGTGAGGCGGCAGGTGCAACCACGAAGCGAGGTGTCTCAGGCCGGCGCGGTGCGGATCGTTCGATGGCGTACAAATCAATCACAACACACTACACAACACCCGGGAGGAAAGACCAAGCCAGGTCGATGCCCTACTCCACTCTTTCCAGTCACGGGCGCCGATAAAGCTGCCAGGAACAAACAATCGGAATAACTCACAAATCGTGACAAGACCAACACGGCCACACTGCTCTCTGAATAAGCTACCAAACAGTTTCCTCACTCCCTGATCACTAAAACCCGGCGCATTGAATTGGTGGCCAAAAAGACGACTCCACAGCGCAGCCTGAGAGTGAGACAACGACTCAGATATTCGTCAATATTTTGGAGACACACAAAATCTTCGGCTGACATACGATCCTTCAATCAAATCAGTATCATATCCATCAAAGGAAGGAGATCCACTGGTGTCCATGGTGTCTGCCCACAAACATAACTAAAAGTCATTGCATTGGCATTGGCATTGGCACATGCATCGGTATGACCAGATGACTGCACTTGGTCACGTTCCTGGCAAGTCGAGATCTGCCCCACGGCCAGGCCGGCCCAGGCATTGGCATTGCAATATTGGGCATTGGTGCACAGAATGCATAGGCATGCCGCATGATCATGATGATCATGATGATAGGGCCTAGCCCTAGGACTCGGAGTTGGGTTCACACTACTACAGGACTAGTGCTAGTACTAGGTACTACTAGTACCGTACTGGCAATATAATTATGTTGCCGCGTAACGCGTAACGCAGGGGGGTGCGGCGTTACCAGGCTAGTGCGACAAATTTTCGTTGAGTTCGTAACGCACGTCCGGCGGGGTGCGGCGATCTTTTCATTGCAGTTTGCAAAAAATGATGCGGCAATATAGCAAAAAAATGATGCGGCAATAGCAAAAAAATGATGCGGCAATAGCAAAAAGTGATGCGGCAATAGCAAAAAAAGGACTGCGGCAATATAGAAACCTGTGTACGGCTCCTGTGCGACTTTGCATGTAACGCCCTGCGTGCGGCAAACATGTGCCAATGTAACGCTTCATGGCCTCACTGCGGCAACATATATTGCCAGTACGGTAGTAGTAGCTGAGAAGTGCGCTGGCCTTGTTGCGTGTTCATGGTGTTGTGGTGGGACAGCAGCTCAGTCGTGGTTATGGGTGTTCTAGGTGTGGGCCGAGCGTCGCGTGCTGAACTGAACGTCGCAATCATCTCAGACATCTGATTTCTGCCATCAAACATCACCGTCCGGCTGTTGTTGTCAGTTTTAGCCTGCTCCACACGACCCCGACTCTGTCGATTCTGTCATCGCGTCTGTCTGTGTGGCCTGCAAGCAATAGATTGTAGATCTACATGTACATGCAGTGTGTAGATCGTGAGCTGGGAGACCTTCACGTAACTCCTTGTCTACTGTACTGTCATTGTAGATGATTCGGACATGCACTGTAAAACTAAAATAAGCATTCCTAGGAAGGAGCTCACGTGTTGGTCCTAACGCAAAGCAGAGCCTTTCGACATGTCCATGATGACTGTCTTCTAGTTGTACTTGGTAGACAAGGCCAAGGGATGATGTTTTTCATGGCCATGTGCGTTCAGCACGACAGCAGCATCCTGTTGTTGTGTTGACAAGGGCGCCTTGACAACGCTCCATGACCATGTGTTGTTGGCTAAGATCAGCTGATGCAGAGATGGCATGCAGAACGCTTGCTGCGTCGCGACTACCATCACCAAGCCAGGGGAAGGAAGGACTTGCCGGTACATGTAGGTGACCATGGTGACCTGGTGACCGATTCCTTCGCCAGTACTACACAGTACACTACACTGACGTACACTACAGAGTACAGTCTGCACGACGAGCGACTTCGGCTCTTGTACAGTCGGCTACATGATTGTGCTGATCTGCCTTTGGAAAATATATTTTTTTAAACAATTTTCATTGCTATCAGGTTCCGCCTCATTTTCTCTGTGCTGCGCTGATGAGTCCACAAAGGACGAAACAGTTCTGTCCCCAGATCGTGTACTGATGTAGTTGCTTGACAGCTGGGCATGGACCAGACTAGGTCTAGACTAGACACCGGCGGATTATGCCAGCATAATTATTGGCATAATTTGGTGGTTCAAAATTTGGAGCATAATTTGGCATCCTGTCGGAGGTAGTTGTACTACGGTTCTAGTAGTATTTAGGCTACACAATTGTGTTCAATGCACATGAGTAGTGCTGGTGGTCTGCATGGTACTCAGTAAAGGGTTCGGAGGTTATGCAGATAATGTTTTCCATGAAAAACAGGGTAGAAGTCATGGCAGTACATTATTGTATGCTCGAACTCGTCTCCTTCAAAGTTCTTTCTCACATTGATACTGTACATGTAGCAGAAGATGCGAGTTAATCAGCCTTTATCACCGGATACATGTACATGTACTATTCCCGGCGCAAACGAGATAATGACGGGTAGTCCGCAAAAGGCTACAATCAGTCATGTACATGTACAGTCAAGTACCTTCTGCATGTTACGAAGTCATGACCTCTGGATCTTAGCAGCCATGACTGTGCAGTTTAGGGATGTACAATGTAGCTCTAATAATTAAACCAATCATCGAGGTATAGTTGATGTTCGGTCATGATGGAAGTAGAGTCAACTAATGAATTAGAGAAGTACTAGTAATGTTTTCTCTTTTCCATGTTGACCTCTAGCATGCATGGACACCTAGTACCTTGGTATGGGGATACTCATGTATTTTGTTGTACGTATAGCCACCTGTAACTGTAAGTACGAAAAAGGCACAATTTTCCGAACTTTGAGGCTCCATAAGTACAACAAAGTGGATAATATTATGTATCCCCGCATAATATGAGGATTTTGCGACCATAATGCGAGAATCCAAGAAAGCATAATTCCATGATTTCGTGAGCATAATCCGCCAGAGACTAGTCTAGACTAGACTAACATGACGATCACGATTCTCAAACTGCTACATGACACGTGTAGTCGTCTGTTGACTTGTTGATCGGTGCTCCCGACTACAACTATCATCAGTTGGCGGAGCCCGCCAGTACTCAGTAGTAAAAAAAAGGAAATCATCGTGTCCGTCCCGAAGGGAACTCACGACGGCCGCTAACACCCGATAAACCCTAGCGGACTGCTATGCCGGATACCGCCAGCCATGCATCGACCAGGCGCCAGGCGCGAACTGATGATGGTGGGGGTGGTGAGAAGGAGAGCTCTGTGCCAGAACTTTTCAGCCTAGAGAGCGTGTGTGGGCAGGCGTGTGTTTACCGCCATATTGCCAGGTGTGTCTTTACCACCATATTTATCAACCCTAGCGGACAGTAGTACTTATAACATAATGCATAATCTATCAAAGTCTCAGCATGAATCATTCATGCACATTTTACATCTTTCAAAGTATTCGTCTAGGGATTGAGTTGAATCTTTTACACAACCTTGTTACATCTGCCTAGAGTTTCCTTGGATTAGACCCTTTCAATTTTTCATTTTGATTTCATCGCCGAGTTTCAAATAATCTAACAAACGACGACAAGGACAAACATGTTACGAGTTACATGTACATCTACATGTATGACAAACTGTCCACCAATTGCCAACAACGTACCGGTAACCATGAATTAATTTGGCTCGCCATCCGAGTTTTTAAAACTATCAAACAAGACTAGCAAAATAATACCATACGTTTTTCTTCTTTTCTCTTTATGTTCACCACTCATTAGGCTGTGAACTGCGCCGACACCCACGGTCAACTGGGTACTCACTACTCGGAGTGAGGGTAACATGGATGCAGCTAACGAGGTTAGCCCCCTTGTCGGGCATTGGTTGTGAGACTTACCACCGCACCCTCGCCGTTAGGCGCTGCATCTGCCACCCTGTTAGCGCAGGCATGGTGGTGGCCTGGCACATGCGAAACTTCCTAAGCTGGTTGTGTTTCTCAACGCAATTGTATAGCCGGTGGTAACGCGGACGTGCAAACTTTACTTTTTTTACTCATTAGGCTCCGGCGAATTATGCTCGCGAAATCATGGAATTATGCTTTCATGGATTCTCTCATTATGCTCGCAAAATCCTCATATTATGCTTTGGCACGCGGGGATACATGTACATATTCACTTTGTTGTACTTATGGAGCCTCAAAGTTGAGAAAAGTGTGCCTTTTTCGTACTTTCAAGTGGCCATAAGTACAAAGAAATGTTTCATGACTTCAACTTCGTATGAGTATCCCCATACCAAGGTGCCCATGCATGCTAAAGATCAACATGGAAAAGAGGAAACATTTCTTCTTCTATTCACAAAGGCACACAATGAAAACCTTGGCAAATTAATTCCGTTGTGACTCAGAGTTTCATGGCTGAACCAATCATCAGACAACGATAATGGAATAGGAGGCAGCGCTGGTATATCTAAGTGGAGTGATAATACGATAGCGAGAGGAGTAATCGCGTGAATGTACACAGGGACAGGCTATTTCAGATGCAGATGCAGTAGGCGCAGGTCTAGCACTAACAAGCATGTATACATTCACGCGATTACTCCTCTCGCTATCGTATTCACATGTGCACCTCTCTCCACTTAGATATACCAGCGCTGCCTCCTATTCCATTATCGTTGTCTGATGATTGGTTCAGCCATGAAACTCTGAGTCACAACGGAATTAATTTGCCAAGGTTTTCATTGTGTGCCTTTGTGTACGCCGCTCTGCCTGAATCAGGCATTGAGCACTCTTGCAGAACCAAAGCATATTGCCTCTGTACTTCTTCTATTCATTCGCTGCCTGCTTTTGTAAAACAAATTCATTGGCATTCAACTGGGTCTCCTCATTGCGCAGATTGTTGTCTCCTCGCCGTTTGTTCCCCACCAAGCCAAGTAGCCAAGCATGCCTGCAAGAGACGCAGAACACACCAAGGGCGCGTTCGAATAATTGTCTTGATCAACTGTTCGAACAAATTCCTGAAAGAGACTAGTTGAAGTGTCCCAATAGAACTTTTTCTATCATTTTAAAGTTTTTCAGACGAATTGTCATGGCGATAATGACGTCCGCGATCCGATCGACCATATCGACGTACATGTCATGTACATGTAGCTATTCCAAACTCTTCGAAACTAATCCACCTGGCACCTCTCCCATCGGCATCGGATGAGGTTGTGGAGTTTCAAAGAGACTTTCGTTTTCTGAAGAGGCCAATAAGCCAAAAAGCGACCTCTTCAGAAAAACGAAACTCCTCGAAAAGTCGAACGCGCCCTGATGCAGCCAGCCCACAAATCATGCAAGCGGATCAAGATGATGATGCTCTGATCTGCGAATGCCATAATTATGCATGCACCCACGGAAACACGTCACAAACCATTTCAAGAGGAAGAAACAATGCATTAGTACGGAGCATCAGCAAATCGAATTTTCGATTTGATTATTCGAATGGCAAAAAGAAAATCA